CCGTTTTCGAGGGGAGGTCTGTGTTTTTTAGGGGGCCAGTGAGAAGGTAACTTTTTTCACTTGGTTTAGAATCAAAGTTAATAACTCTGCATATTCCATCCCCCCTCCTCAACCCCACCCCTTCCCACCCACTGTAGATCCGCGCATGTATATTTTCACAAAAAAATGGTATCCCTAATACATGTGCATGATTTGTTATTTCCTCTGATTTTTCTTTATTCTTTTAAAATTTGAATATTGATATAAAAATTATAGTGGATTATATTCAATTAATTTTTATTTTTAACGGATATATTATGACTTAGGCTCCTACTTATGTGAAAAAATATACTCGGGTTTGTTATTCATAATTAGATATAACCGATAAATTTATTTTTTTCAAAGATGACTTCACGACATTGCGAATAGCGACATTCGGAAGATGTCAAATAACCGGAAGTTGCATTTAAATTGACAACGGGAAGTAACTCTTACCAATATTACTCGGGTATAATGAAAATAGAACATTTTTAAATAATATTGAATGTATAATACTCGAGGATGCTTTGAAAAAAAAAATAAGATATAGGCCCCCAAGCATAAGATATGCTATTTGACTTCTTGTACCTAATTTGGTCTAATTACCTATTTTTGGGGTTTACGCCCTATAAAAATTTTAATAACATTTGAATAATCCCTGACTGGAGTTACTTAATATTCAATCACAAATAAAAATATGTATATAATTACCAAAGTCGTGTGATGTCTCTTATATATTTATTTCAAATTAATTACCCAGAGAAAATCTCTAAAATGACCTTGACCTTTGACTTCAAAATTTTGAAAGTGTTTATTTGTACAATATGCAAGTAAATGATGACATCCACTTTCATGTAAAAAAAAAATAAATAAAAAAATGATAATAAAAATAAATAAATACCCAGAGTAGTCTTTTTTTCCAATGTACAATACAGCATTGATCATGAGTGACTTTGACCTTTGAACAAAGGAATCATCCACATGACATAAAAGCTTGGGGAAGGGGCGGAAGTTGATCTTATATTCTTATCTACATAAACTTCTATATAAAAACAATTAGAACACCATGTTAAATTTAAAGATACTTTTAATGTAATACATGTAACTGTCTGCTGCAACAAAATGAACAGAATTTACAACTGTTTTTCTATTGCACAATGCATTCTTCTTTGAACTTCAAAGCCTTCATATTTGTCATGAATTTTATAGTCCAAACAAGTTAGACTTCATTAAACTGACACAATAAAAAGTATGTTTCCACAACATTTTTGACTTTTCTAGAAAAAGCTACTTCATATGATATTTCTAGAAACTGGCTGACATTATCAGAGCCCAAAGTCTTATCATGGATGTGAACTCATTAAACTTTCAAAGAACAGTTGAGAGCTTAGGAAAGGCATTCTGCTTGCTGACCACTAGCTTCTGATGTTGATGGGAAATGTAGCCCTTGATTTTGTTCTGTAATGCAAAATTAGTATACTTGTATGGTTGTCATGATGAGTCAATTATGCAACAACTCACTGTTATATTAAAGGTATGACAGAAAATTTCAACAACTTCTTGCATATCTTGGCAATATAATTAGCAAACTCTTACCTCATATATCAGGTTGGCAATTATACATGCTGTCTCATCATTGTCTATATCGTCAACCTGAAAATTTCACATGAAAAACCCCTATTATATATAGTTTCGGCAAAATACATTTATATGCATAGAAAATCAATATAAACCCAACTCTTACTAGATAAATGTAAATGCACTCCTTGTGATGAAATCGTGGTATCAAATCAAACATCATTTATAGTGTAATATATTATTCTACGAAATAAGATGTGAACTTCTAAAAAGATAATAAAAACGGTATAAATTCACCTTCATCATTCTCAGTGCTGTAGTGAATGCATCAATGGGGAGCTGATGGGTGTTCAGGATGAGATAACTGAAAAAAATGTTCACAAGTGTGTTAGTCTTAAAATTCATTGACAAATCATCAAATTTGCAAAGTTGAAACCCTTTATTTCTAAAGTTCAAATAGTTTTGATGTACAGGAAATTATGCCACATACACTTTCTTGAAGAGATTGCGATATGTGATGATCTTGAGTTTTTCTAAGATGAGGTAGATGCCACATTTGATGAAGAATGCTTCATTTTTCTCTAATGCATTATTTAGTGAGAGGAGATTTCCTGAACTGTAAATAAAATAAACCATGCACCAGTACTTTATTAACAAGTGCAAACACAAAATTGAATGTTACATATAGCATATAACTATTGAAATACTACAAAATTAGTTTCAACTGCATGAAACTTTGATTCATACAAAATCTTTTTAAAAACAAGAAAATATAAACTAATTATAACCATATTATAAAATGTATCAACTTTCCTGTTGGATAACATTACATACCTAACAGCTTGTGCAACTTCAGCAAACTGCAGTAGATCATATTTCTTCAACACTCTTTGTGATGGCATGTATCCCTGTACATGATTTATTTCAGTAAGTATTAGTACATGTATCTGACATTTTGGTTCATTTTTTAAATAGTAGGATGTGTATTTTTTTTCATTTCCGCCCCCGGTATTTCAATAATTATGTTAGTTCAAAACTGAAATGGAGCACTTGCAAATAACTTAGAGATGCATGTACATACAGTATATATAATTTATTAAATGATAAAAAATCATAAATATCCATTACATATACTTACCAATAGCATTTTGACAGGAAGGAGATATATAAGGGTCATCCGTTTGTTCTTCCTACTCAGTCTGTGACATCTGGTAAAGGCAAAGGTGAGGAATTCATCAGCTTTATACAAAGAAATGGAAAATGTCAACTGAGACCAAATGTTTAATCAATGACAAGTGTATAGTCAGTGCACGTGTTCATGCAGTTTGTTTCCTTGTAAATTATTGTATGTTAAGACTGAAGAAGAAATAGTTAAATGACACAAACCACTTTTGAAGTCACTGTCAAACATGGCTTTTCTCCCAACATAATATCTGTAATGAAGAAAAGTACGTTTACATGTAGAAATGAAATTAGATATTTATGGCATAATTAAGAATTTTTTTTCAGAAATATATATAGATGTAGGTACTTGGTCATCTCCAGAAAGCAGAATTAGTACTTAAACCTACGCATCTCCTCTCTTCTTCACAAAAACTTTAGCATCCCAGAGAGTTATCATAATTTTTTTACAAGCATGTACTTGTACATTAACCTAAAAGTGACTTGTTGGGCAAGAGGAAATCTGTCCTTCAATGGTAGACTGTCAATGGCACGGATCAAGGGTTTACAGAGGTGCAACTTATTTATCTACAAAAGAAGCACCTGAATTATAATGCAAAAAAGAACCATTTCTAGATTTCGTATAAATCATATCACATATAAATTATGTGAAGCCTCTGCCTACCTTGAAGTAAACTTTAAACAGCTGATTAACAAGATTCAACATTCCCCATTTCTTTGTGTCCTCTACAGAGGCCCGACTGCAAAAAAAAGGTAAGATGAATTAAATTTCAGCTGATTACAGGTAACATTCAAACTAAACTATTATATTACAAATGAATTTTTTCTCTCAGCTAAAAAATTTATGTCCAGAACTCTCACTTGTCGGCGCAGACCCTGAAGCAGCCCATTAGCAGCTCCGCGGCTTTCTCCAGTCTCTCTCCCGCCTTACCCCTACCTTTCTTCTGTGCCTGAGCATCAGCCTGTGGACAAAGTACCATTTATGAACATAGAGCAGTCAAAATTTTACAGTTACTAAGATAGCATAATTAGCTTATCATTAATGTACACAGGTTTTCATTTTAATCTAATGCATTAATGATAAAACACAGTTCTATGCTTGTAAGTTTCACCAACATTTTGAGCAACTGATCATAATTTTTATTAATAATAATTTTAAAATATGCAGGAATACTGATAAGTTTTTGTACACCACAGAGTTTTGTAATACTACAAACTTACTGAATTAGCAAATTTCCTGAGATCCAAACATACAGCAAACATGATAGGTAATGACCAGTTCTCATCTTTCTGGCTTTGAAAAAACTTGGTAAAAGCTCTACACAGAAGTTAAGGGATAAAAACATAAAAAAATAAGACTTTAATGAACTTTTAATTGTCATCGGATTATAGCACAAAGTACATACACCAGTTACTGAAGGATACTGTACAACAACCGCCTGACATCCGTAAGCTTCTATAAAATCATGGTTGCCTACTGCCCAACAGCATCTGAAAACAATCAAATCTCACCAGATTTGAAAGTCAATACAAATGTACTACTCTTTTTTTTTAAAGTACAGTACAAATAAAGACATCACCAAATCAATTATTCAATACATGTAGATTCAAAGTTTCACACATATTGATCAATTCTAATGATTTTTGTATCTATGGTTACAACATTGTTCTATCAGCAGCAGATCAGTACCTGCTGACAACAACAGGATTCAGACCTACCTGATGTGAGCAGCTACAAGCTCATCTAATGGGGTATCAAACACCCTCTGTACAGCAGACTCTGGTCTTTCCAGTTGAAGCTTAGGATTTGCAACATGAGGATGCTCAAAGCACAACAGATCCTATAAAAAAATTATCAATGAAATATCAATCATGATAACCCACCCCCTCCCCCCCCCCCCCCCCCCCACAAACATTACCTATTTATAAATAATTACTGATCCTTTTTCTCTAGGTCAAAAAGGAAACATCAGAGAAGGAAACATTGCAATCCTGCCTCTTTTGGCCAAATTTTGCTCGTTAAATTGAAATGTCTTCCTCATTTTTTCTCCTTTTTATTATTACCTTCATGCTCTTGGTTGCTAACTGTTATGTCTTACAAGGAAAACAGACAAGAACTGGTTCAAACAACATTCTTAGCTATACAATGTATTAGCTAGATTCTAAATTTGAGGAAGTTGCACTGGATTTTTTTTTTTTAAAGATTACGTCATTGCAATGAGCATGTAACTGGTTTTCTTTAACTTTCAGTCATACTCAAATACAAAAATCTTACACCAGCTTTCAAGTCCATCTTTATCTTGTATAGCATCATCCACCTACAATGATATACAGATGTCATTTATCCTTATATTCATAAAAAATTACCTTTTTATGCGTACTGAACCTATTTTTAACAGTCCTGTCACTTTTGGTAAGCAAGTTTTTCTGCAACCCTACAGTTTGTAAATTTGATCCCCTAAAATTGAAGTGTCCTAGCTCATTGGGCAACAAGCAAAACTTGTCAAACTGTTATCCTTTTTTTTTTTTTTTTATGTGTCCTGATGCGGATTTATAATATTTATAGCCAAGTTTCTGTAATTTACACCCCATTTGGGATATTATATGTCCCAAACGGACAATTATAGCAAGCGCAGCAAGCGTCGCTTTGCGACACTGGTAACTGCGAGCTCTAACGACAACGCCTGTGCGAAGAGAAAATTTGGACTACTGCACATTCATTCCAAAAAATTTTTTGCCGCAGCAATTTTGACCCACAAATTACACAAAAGCTTGACCCAAGAATAATGACAAAAGTTAAAAGAAAAATAAACTTGCCATCGTTTCTTGCAGAAAAATAATCATAAACTGATTGATATCAAATCAGACTTCGGTTTGGTAAAGCAACATGCAAACACGTTCTCGCACCGAATGAATACGATGACAAAAGTTAAAAGAAAATAAACTTGCCTTGATTTAATGGCATTAACTAGGAACAATCTAGAGAGTTTTAAACATGGAAGGTAATTTTCGAGAGAAAAACATTGAGAAAATTAAGAAAAATAATAAAAGGCATAAGCAACTGATTATTTTTGATAGTGCAAATCATTTTATATTCTTCAAAATCGTTTCGGAGCGGACTCCATTGGTTTGACGTAAAGCAACATGCTAGATAAGTATCTGCGCTCGCCCTAACGACGTCATATGTTTAAAACTGTTTAACTGCCCAATCTTCTGGTTCCAGATAATGTTGTTGTAAAAATAGTTTACTTACGTTTTGAAGATAAGTATTCAACGACCATTGTGCCATTTTCCTTTGTATCTTTATGCAATAAAAATCAACCAATATTTTCAAAAAAATATTCAAACATCGTGCTACTTTCACTTTAACAGGAAGTTATGAAAGGGGCGTTTAATTAAGACAATTTAGTCAAGAGATAATTCGATACACAATCACTGCAACAAATGAAAACTTTATGTATGAAATGAAACAATTATGTGTGTCTCTCTTTATATATAAAAAGGTCATAAATATTCATTACATTATTAAATTTGTGTCTAAACATGGTATTTTCATTAACATTTACATATATTGCAAAATATATTCCGCGCTTTATAATCATGCAGTCTCATAATTCATTATTTGAGAATAAAACATCTCACTATTTTGAATAAGCATTTTATGTATTCACTAAGCACACACATCCCCATTTTAATATATTTACTCCTTACAAAAATATTAGCTGTTGTAAAGTATTGAGAAACATCAGACGTACTAGTCCTGTGTTACAGTTTTTTTTAGAAGTTTATATAAAATCAGCTGATTTAGATCCTCAAAAACTCGAAAGTTAAAATTGAAAAAAAGTCTTTAAAATCAAACTGACGTCTTTTTTTTTATATACACTTTATATAACAATTGCTCATAATAAATTAAAATCTAGACTTAATTTTGATTATCATAGACAACTGTTAGATAAAAATTGAACTCGGAGGAAATTTTCACAATAACTTCGTTAAAACCACTCTGATTGTAGTACACACAATTACTCTGAAGTTGATATTCAAACAATGCATAGGACTCGATCGCGGCGAGTGTGATCGGTCAACAGGGGATGTTTTACTCTTCCAGGCA